TTTGTTCGGCATACAAGTGTGGCAGCCATGGCTTTTAAAGTGCCAAACATGCATCGAAAGAGTACAACATCGTGCAACAAAGTTGGTGGACGGTTTAAATAGCCAATCCTACATAGAAATATTGAACTGCCTTAATTTATCCTCCCTGTGTTGCAGGCAGCAAAGGGGTGATCTTATCCCGGTTTACAGATAATACGTGGCTTTGAGCAGGGACTGCAATTTGAGGATATGTTTCAGTGGCACCTCTCGCCCAGTCTTCGCGGCCACTCCATGACGTTACGCACAAAGATGTCCAAGGCGAACATTCGCTCTGAATTTTTTACACAACTGGTAGTGAACAAATGGGTTGCTCTCCCTCAGTCGTAGGTGCGGGATACCTGTAGTTTTTCGAGAAACACTTGGATGTTTATTTATGTTGCCTGTTCTCCCTCAACAGTCTGAACCTGAGCCCAAAACCCCATGAACCAAGAAAATTTTGTATGTTAAAAAGTTCTGTTTAAATCATGCAGTCATCATTTTAATTGCGACAATTTTCATTATTCGCGTACAGTTGTATATGACGTATTCAATAGGGTTTTCAACGGCCTTGCCTATCATCCTTTAGAGAGAGAGAGGACTGCTTTATTTTGAAAATAATTTTCAAAACTTTCAGCAAAAACGGTTCTCCAGTACACAGTGATTACCATAGAGATTAACAGTTTTTGGACAGGTGGACATGATTATATATGAAGAAAAAAGGACTTTAAGGTGCAAGATCGAGTTTTAGTTTTTGTTTTTCAACATCTTTGCAGGTGAGATACCGGGCTAGAAATGGTAGTATGGAATTCCGATAGGCCGAAGTGCGACAAGGGATGTGGCGGAAGCATCGACGCATGGGGCGTAAGGATTTCGCGGCCATTAACTCATTATGAAGGGGATGGACGGTGTCATTCAGAATTCGGTCAGCGAATTGCTCCACCGAGTTAAAGTGTCGCTGCACGATGATATCAACTAAAAGATGATAGGAAACACCAAATAAACTGAATAAACTGAAATATCAATTTTCATTTCTTTTATACAGTTGCCACTTTGTTTGTGTTAAATTTTCTCGTCCGCTTACCTACGTACACGCTATCTTGCACCGTATTCTGCAAAAAATTAGGATGGGCCTCTCATAACCTGCCTGCTACTACGCTTCGCCATCCTAAGGACTAGGATAAACTGGGATGGAGTGCTTTGGCTCAGTCCAAGAAGTCGTCCATCTTATGTTTTTAACATATCGGACATGAAGTGCTTATTTTATGGGTATTCGATCTGTGTAGACGGATCTTTGGACCGTATTGCGCAAGCAAACTGCTTTGTGTTCGTGAGACTACGGCGGACTACTATCGACTTGGCCGCTTGACGAAATCACAGCTCCGCCCTTTGTCCTCATCGAATTCGTTCAAACAGCAGGGCCAACAGCTAAGATTTCAACAAGTGACCCACACCACCCCACTCTGTATTAGTCACCCGAAACCAAATAAAGGCTAGTAGTTAACATGCCTGACAGCTTCTATAGGGCGGCTTACTTGCACATCGTGCAGTACCATTAAACAGATACGTTAAAAAGCAAAAGTTGAGCGACCTTTTGGATTAGACCATGATACTGTCTACGTCAATTCGCCCAGTCTTTCGGACAATGATATGTGGCAGCACGGCTCTTAGGTTTAACTACGTACTCACGGGTACTTCCTTCAGGCTCAGCACATGTTAGTGATTCAGCATCTTTTTAGCAACAAAAAAGGTTAACATGTCAGAACTCTATTCAAACCACTTTCGTAGATCTAAATGCAGTGCAAACTTTGTTGTCTTTCATAATTACATTTACAAAATGGACGGTCGAACGAATATTATAATACTCCTCTTTGTAACTGTCGGACAAAATGAAGATGGCTGCATATCAGGCTGCGGAGCTGACAATTAGTTTTACGACAATTCTAAGAATCGATGACAAACTAGAGGAAAAAGCTTGACAATCTCACGAGATGACAAAAGAGTTTGCAAGGATACAACGTCCAGAGAATTTACTTCCTCGGCAAAACTCTGAGGGGGGGGGTTGATTTTTCTGCCCTCGGATCACTTACAAGGGGCTTTGTACTGTGCACTATTGTAGAATGGCCTCGCCGAGGGCGCACGAAAATAATGGGGCAACTGACTAAAGCAAACTTCTTTCCATTTTGAGTGATGATATGATTATTGATTGCAAACATTCTCACTTGTTTAAATAACTTGCTCGCCCGCGCACATCGTGGCATGCTCCCGCTCCTCGTGGTTGTGTGTTTGTCCGGTGAGTGATGTTAAGATGGCTTATGAGGCTGATGTCCGCTAAGCACCAACCACTGTCACCTGTCCTTTGTAATCTTATCCGCATGATAGAGTCCCATGTGGGTGTAAGGCAAAGGTACAGCGATGCCGGCCCCGAGGTAGCCGTCTGTGAAGTCTCAGGCAGCCGGTGGGTTTGGCAAAGATTCCCCATCCACATGTTGGTGCGGCTGGTTGCTGCGGTCTTGTCTATGCTATGTGTTTTAGTAATCTGATTTCACTTGTCTAATGGTTGTTTTTTTCATAGTGGGATGTCGACGCACCCGATCCGCGTTAACCGCTGTCCTTCGGGACTTTGCGGTGGTTGAGGAGTCGCTTTTGCGCCGTTGACGAACGCGTAGGACTGGTGATTCCCGCGGATGCGTTAGTCCGTCAAACAGATGTCCGTGAGTCCCACGCGCGTTTCTCCGCTTGGCGTTAGGTATGGTCGAGGTGAGTGATGAATATTGACAAGCATATGTCTGCTCCGTAATGAAACTTTATTCTGAATACTTTGCTGCAGAGCACTTAGAACTGCTTTTTTCTTCTGTAGTGGGGAGTACAGACGGTCACCGACTCGCCGATGTCCTGCGTTCCACGGGGACTCCACTAGCGGCCCTCAACCGCTTATGTGTTGGTTTGAATACTGTCTTCCTGAATTGATTAAATACAAAAGCCCTGACTTCTATTCCGCTTACTGCTGTCTGGTTGTCGCGTACGGCTTGTTGGTTTGGCCCACGGAGGGGCCCGACGTCCATGTTGGCCCTCCCGTCTGCCAAGGCCGATTTGGGGCACATCTGTGGCAATAACTTGCGATCGTGGCCGACGAGATTCGCGAAGGTTGATGCATCTCCCCGGACGGACGTCGATCCGCTTGGGTCCCGGTATTCAGCCGAGGCCGGCTATGACGAAGAGCTGCGCGTACTGGTTGCGCGCTTGAATCGTGTTCTGCCTGCGGCAGACCATCACACTGACAGGCGTATCAGTAGTCGGGATGCCGGCCGGGCTTGGGGGTCGGCCATGTAAGTGGAGGTATGGGCGAACCTGGGGTGGATTTCCCGCAATCTTGCTCTGGCCGGTGGTCAAGTTGGTGTCCGGAAACGTAACTGTGTCTAACGTTGCGGCGCCGGGCGCCCTATGGTGCTGCGTGTACGGGCCGGGGGAGGGAGGCGGCCGCACACCGCAAGTTCACCTACTGGTCGTGTCTCTTGTCGCCGTTGTCGCACTCAGATCGCGAAGAGCTAGGTATCGGACGCTCGGTCGCCGTTTTGTGCGTTCGAAGTGTCTGGCAAATGCTAGTCACGGTTGGACCTTCGGCTGACAATAGAGGGCGGCCGGCTAGTTTTAAGCGGCGCCCCGGCTCGTTTTTACGCTAGGCAGGTGTAGCACTCAGACCGGTTATGTCCGGTCGTGGCGCTGCGACAGATGGTTTGGCAAAATGGATGTTCAGTCGTCTCAAGTTCCTAGCCGAGGGCTCGCCCACAACCAGCATCTACGAGTTAATCCTTCGAGCGCATAAGACACCTGAAATTGGGGCCAGATGGGTCTGTGGTGTACTTTGATGTCCTTTGCTTTGGCTCTTCACGTCCACATGACAGCATCTGGCGATAGCCGTGGACCAACTACTGACTGAACGCTATGAGGAGAGGAACAAGCCCTTGAAGTCCGGACATCTCGGAGTTATACGATGGTGTCCTAAGGCCTATTTCACGTTTGGTGAACAGATCCAAGGCACATCTATGGGCTTCCTCCGATTGGTAGGGCACTGGTGTTCACCAAATGTTAACCAGAGTTCCGGGATTGTTATGTCTACGAGGCGGTCTCTGAACAGTTAAAACCCAACAATCCGACCGATTCGGACGATGTCCACCAAAGTGCAGCATCCGTGTTGACCTGCGCGTGAATTACTTTATGGTGGTAGTAGACTTGCGCATCATCTACCGCACTTTCCTCACTTCCCACTCGGGCCCCGCTGTCAAGACAGAGTCAAGAAAACCGGAGGTGGGTGGGGACGAAGGCGGATGGCACTACCGGAGCCGCACCCAGGCGTACCACCACACACTGGTCCACAACATACATTTGACCAGGATTCCTCAACAGCAACAACACCTCAGCGGGGGTCAAAAGGATGAGGATGGCTGGGCAGTCATGCCTACTACCTGTATATCCAGCGGGAGCGTAAGCGCATAGCACCCGCTTTCAGACCTTTTGACAAATAAGTGCAGCACGTGGCCCTGCACTTAACCTGGACCGTCACCCTCAGTCGTCGATCGAGGGACACTACCCACAAAGCACACACACGAACAGAAACGCTCCTCACATACATAAGTGTCACACATCGCTTGAGAAGCGGCCATGACAGTCTGACTCTTACCTCACCACTCCACACAACAAGTGGACAGACTGCGTGGACTGAGTTGGGACGTCCGTCAGCTGCCTTACGAGCCACGGCGTTCGACGCACCGTCTTCGTCTCAGATTCCGATCACACATGCAGCAGGGGAGCCGCATGGTGAAGTGACCGAGATACGCACTCCCCCCCCCCCTGCGTAGGAGGTGGCAGTTGGGAGCTCGCGATAGGTGATGTTGATGTGCGGTGAGATGGTGGTGAGGGAGGATGTGATGGTGTGATGCGGCCGACGGTTGTCTACAGTAGGTTTTCGTGGACGCGCATGTGGCCTAATAGACCATGCGGTGGCTAAATGTGCGAGTGCCATGTGGACAGTAGAGGCGGACGAGGCGATTGTAGACTGGTGCTGCAGGCACTGGTTCGCCAGTCTCTGTGCGATGGAGTTGCAAGTGACCGACCAGGTCGATGTGTGAGGTAAAGGTGCGATAGAAATGAGAACAAGTATAAACCCGATCCTCGTTACTGTTGTTGACGGTGGTAGTGTTGGTGTTTGTTGGTATGTCAGGATTGTTTATAGTGTCGATGGCCATGGCAGACGCCACGGCGGCAGACATTGAGGCGGTGACAGAGGGCGAGGGGAGGGGAGAAGGATGGTAGTGGTGGTTTGGGAGGACAATCAACGTTAGTTGACGGCGTGAGAGGCGAGGAAGAAGTGGACGGAGAGACGGTGGTTGGTGCAGTCCGGGTGCCGCAGGTGATCCGGAGGTGTCCAGCAAATCCAATTGGCGCCCGGGATGTCCGTTGACATCATGGACCCGTTGGAGGCGGCTGGGCTTGGGCGCTGTGAGGCAGCAGCGGCGTCAGTGGAGATTTGCGTGTCTCGCGTTTGGCTTTAACGGCGGTGATGCGGTTGGCTTCGAAGATTGCTAAGCCTGTCTTCACTGTTCTCCTTTACGTAGGCCAGTCCCCGGCAAGGTCTTCCCAGTTTGCAGGGTTGATCTGCAGGCACTTCGGGAAGGCTTTCAGAGTATCCTTATAGCAACGGAATTGGCCTCCTTGTCTGCGTGAACCCGTCGCGACATATCCATAGAAGAGTAGTTTGGGTAGTCTCTCGTCGTCCATCCGTACTAGGTGGCCGCTCCAGCGTAGCTGCAATTGTCTTAGCACAGCGTAGACGTTGAGGATTCCTGTTCGCTCCAGTACGTCCGTGTCTGGGATCCGGTCCTGCCAACTCAGTTTCATTATTGGCGAAGACATCTGAAAAGGACGTGCCTGCTTCGTGTACACTGTCCAGGTCTCTGTTCCATAGAGTAAAGACGGTCTTGTACATCTTCAGTTTCGTGCTGAGTTGAAGACTGTGACGATTCCAAACTGTGTTTTGAAAACGACCGCAGGTTTGACTGGCCTTTAAACTTCGGCGGATCACTTCATCGTCGACGTTGGTACAGCAGAAGACGGTTTTGACCAGATACGTGAAGTTGTCCACCGCCAGCAGTTGGGTTCCATTTACGGTAATTTGCGGAGCATTGTGGGCAGTGTTGGATGGCGGTTAGTGCATGACCACCGGCTTCCCCGTGTTCATGACCAGACCGAAGTTCTTGCAGGCGGCAGAGAAAAGGTCCGTGCTTCTTTGCAGGTCTCCTTCAGTAGTTTAGTTTAAGGTGCATTCATCGGCAAACGGAAGTTCGTGAACTGTGCTTGTGGATACGCGCGATTGAAAGTGTATCCTCTGGTGGTTGTGTAGTTGAGCATCCGTCCTGTAGGCGATGCGGATTCCGGGGCGTTCGTCACAGTAGGCGTCCATCAACATGGCAGAGAACATGAGACTGAAGACGATAGGCGCGTGGACGCAGCCCTGCTTCACTTTTTTGGTCACTGCGAACGGCTATGGGACAGCTCCACTGTCCGTGACTCGCGCCATCATGCCGTCGTGAAGCTGACGCACCATATGAGCGAATCATTCGGGACAGTCCAATTTCTGCATGAGTTTCCGCATGACTATCTCCAGACACTTCTCCTGAATTTGGCGGGCAGCATAGATGATGTCCGTGGTTCCACGATGACGGCGGAAACCGCACTGACTTCCCGGCAGGAGACCTTGTTCTGGGTCGTTGTTAAGACGGCCGAGAAGGATGCGAACGAAGATTTTTCAGCGATGTCCAGTAAGGAGATGCCGGCCATTATCCTTCCGCTTATAGTGATGGACGATCGTTGCGTCCTTGAAATCCTGCAGGACTTCTCCTTAGCGCTGCATCTTCTGGAAGAGTGCCGTCAGATGATCCATGAGTTGGGGACCACCGTACCTGTAGATCTCAGCGGGTATCGCGTCCGATCCGCCCGCTTTCCTGCTGGAGAGCTACTGTACGGCCCTGATGGTTTCGTGAAAAGAGTACGGGAGGTCGAGGTCGGCGTTGGTCTCCAATTGAGGCAGACGGCAATGGCGTCGTTGAAGATGGTGGAGAGACGGTTGAGGACGCCCCGGAAGTGCATGACCCACTGCTGTAGAATTTGTGTCTTCTCAGGGAGTAGGGTACTGCCATCGGCGCTGAGAAGAGGTGCAGTAGCTTTGATTGACGGATCGTAGAGGACTTTGGGTCGCGACAAAGACGTTTTTCCATTCTTTGCGTTCCGCGTACCCTTGAATGTCCTCTGCCTCGCGAGCCGTCCACGCATCCTTTACATCGCGCAGTCGTTGTTGTAGAAGACGGCGACTGCGGCAGAAGGCTGCTTTGGTGTCGTCGGTGGGGCGAGTGACGTAGGCTTTGTGCAGACTGTTCTTCTCGACGAGCCGGCTGCTGATGGCGGCGTTGCTGTCGTCGAACCAATCCTGGTGTTGGCGACTTGCCCAACCGAGGATGGCCAGGGTCGTCGACTGGATTGTGTCCCGCAGTTGACATCATCGTTTCTCCACGGAGGCGTTGTCGTCAACGACGGCGGCGACTGGAATGTTGACCAGCCGTTGAACTAGCTCGATGCTGAAATGGAGATGGTGAGCAGGCAAAGACAACAAGGCAATATTCAGCTTATCTGGGTGTCACTTACCTTGGGGTTTCCTGCGAGGCTGCAGGCGAATCCTCATCTTCGAGATGACGAGGCGATGGTCGGTCCACCCGTCGGCACCAGGGATTGCCTTTGTCCCGCCGGTCTCACTTCCGGACGAGGACATAGTCCAGCAGGTGCCAGCGTCGCGACCGACGGTTCATCCAGCTGATCTCTCACATTGGGAGTCAGAAGAAGATGTTCGTCAGGATGAGTATGTTCAGCGCAGGTTCGCAGAGGGAGCAGACCATTGTCATTGAAGCCGTTGAGACCATGGGGACGCAACACTCTTCTCCATGCAGCATGGTCTTTGCCGACGCGGGCGTTGAAGTCACCAAGGAAAATCAGCTTATCCAAATTCAAGACAGTCACCAGAATGGCATGCAGCCCCTCGCAGAATTTGCCCCTTGCCTCGTCGGGGGTGGTCATCGGGGGTGCGTAGGCGTTGATAATAGTGGCAAATTTGCCTCCCTTGAGAATCATCAGGCGATCGTTGATGCCCTGCAGAAGACAGGGTAGTCGTCCCACGATGTCATTTCGGATGGCAAAGGCGACGTCCGCGTCCCGTCGCTCTGCCTTTTGGCGACGGCTCCAGAAGAAGGTGTAGTCGGCAATAACCTGCTCCAGTTGGCCCTGTTCGGAGAAGCGAGTCTTGCCGAGTTCAGCGATGCCCACCTTGTAGCGCGCTAGTTCGCGATCCACTAGCGCTGTCCACCGTTCTGGTCGGTTGCTTCTAAAAGTCTAAAAGGGACAGTCATTCCAGGCTGCCAAAATGAGCGGACTCACCCAACGAGCCCGTGAGTTGGGGCTGCAGGAGGAGGAGGGGGATGAGAGACATATTATTGTTGCTCGTTTGGTTGTTTCGACCGTGGGTTTTGCGTCTGAGGCCACAACCAGCCTGCAGACGGCGTGGGTTCTCAGCATTTGTTTGGGGCAGCCTTTCCAACCACTTCGCCCTCACGGGGGTCAGCAGTGTTCTCTCTATATAGGGCTGCTTAGTTGTCTCAGACGGTAGCCGAACTCCGCCATGGACTACGACTTCTGTTTAATGGGAGGATGACCCGAGTTAGCCTGGGACTCCTACGATATCGCCGTAAGCTTGAAGGGGTGGGGGAAGTACAAAGAAACAAAATGCAAAATTTTCGGAACCCTCTTTAAGCTAACTGGCTGCTGAAATATAAACGATGAGCAGACACACTCAATAGAACTGCATGCAGCTTACAATAAGGCCAGATAAAAACAAGCCGACAGAGGACAGGCAGCGAAGAACAAGCAAAAGCAAAGGCAGCAGAACAATGTTCGCTAACCTAGTGACTCCCTTACCTTGTGGCCTCCTACGGTGTTCCATATGGGACCCCATCACGGGGATACCAATGCCGGCCAGCGGAGCCGAGATTACTGTGTGCACACCTGGATATCCTCACCTGATCTAGCTCGCCGGTCGAGGCGGTTGCCGAGGTGTGGCCAGTAGACAGAGCCTAGCTTCGGGGAGCCACATGTGAGGGTTGGGTGCCAGTAAATAGGTTCTAGGCGTAGTCTACACCTGCAAGCAAGCGAGCGACCTACTACGTCCGTCACGTGAACCCACTGCTGAACACCCCTACACCCCATTACAACTCAAATTAGTAGGCATAGCCTGTTGTCCCCAGGCAACAATCCGGCGTTGTTTAATGAAACTTGAGGACATTCTGCCATCCACTGCAACATCAACAGTTGTCTACAGAATAAGTTGCAATGTTGGGGGCTGAAACTATATTGGGGAAACCGAGCGGAAGTTGCAAACTCGCTTACAAGAGCACAAATCGGTAACTCGGAGTCTAGACTCAAACTCTCAACTTGCAACGCACTTTGGAGAAACTAGACATCCGATCATTAGGAAGCTACCATCTTAAGTCGGGGCAACTCAAGAGCAGAAGGTTCGCGTGAGCTCATAAATCCCGATGACTCCAGGTTCCTGGTCCTCAGTGATCCCCATACTGCACACGAATATGACCTTCCAAGGCTGCACAAAGCGGATGTGCTGTCGCGGACCATAGGGCAACTCATTTGATCGTCCAATAGCTCGCCTTGAACACCCGCAAACTGTCCACCCACAGCCCCATCAACTCTCCACCCGCCAGCGCGGTCACCTCTACCAGCACCACAACGGCAACCGACATAGCATCGCCCAACACATCCTGCTCACACTGCTAGCGCACATTCACCCTACCCATCGGTCACTTGCGAATGCATCGCACAGAAGCTGGCATCAGCGTACACCAGACGCCATTGCCTCATCTTCCGCGTTGCCCTCGCACATTCAGGCATCGCGTAGGTCTGTTCGGCCATGTGCGCTCTCCCAAATAGGCCGTAAATCGCCGCCACCACCACCACCACCACCACCACCACCACCACCACCACCACCACCACCACCACCACCACCACCACGCATTCCCCATGAACACATGCACCACACATGAACATCAGCACCCCACATCACTGGCACCTTTCACGCAAGTGGGAATTGTGCTTTTCGGCTTCTTTCTCCAAGTGGCGCCAGGGGTTGTGGTGGTATGCCTAAGCATGGGTTTTCGCCATGTTAGTTATCTGCGCCCTCTCCCCTATCCAGTCTTATTCACCCTGTAATGGCACCGGACCAGGTGTGGGAAGAGGAAAGAGAACGGTAGATATGGCGCAAGTTTGCCGATAGGAGCGAACAGGCGAGTCCCCTGAAGCAGTTCAGTAGACGAAACTGCGATCACTGGAGCAATAAATTTATTAGCCTGACGTTTCGGACTCTCACTTGAACCCATCACGTGAGACAGTCGCAAATAATAGGTACTAACGGCACAAGAAGTGCAGTATTTATAGTACGTAGGTGCCATGGGACCATATGCATACTATAATTAACAGCTCTCACAATCACCGTTGGAGATGGTGCCTTCTCAGTCAAAGTCATAAATCGCCGCGATTTCGTCATCCGTGTTGGATGCTGTCAGGACGATTGCTCGGCAATTTGGCTCAATCTCACTGGGATTGTTGCTTATCTGCACCCTTCCCACGTGACTGATTCCCCTGCCCGAGGAAAATCTCAGCACAGAATACGGTAACGGGAGGTCGTTGTGCTTGTTGATGGAATCCAGGCCCTAAAACCATGAGTAGAGCAGCTCAAGACTCACGCAATTGCCTCCACTTGCGAGGAATTTGGCCTCTTGAAACTTGCAAGTATGGCCGGGTCCCGTCGAATGAGCCGCCACCTGAGAGCTAGCGTCTCCTCGCCTGACGGCTGCTGCGTGCTCGGTCATTTGCCGCCGGAGCAATCTTCCAATTTCTCCGACGTAGTTGCTTTGCCCGCGACTGCATCAGATCCGCTAACCGATAGGCAGGTCATTCGGCCTCATGACTTGGCGCCTGGTGGTTGCTGCCGGCCTGTGCGCAACCCAAAATCCAAATGGAGTGAGAAGGCGACTGACGGCTTCCGAGACCTTTACGTACGGAAGAGCCCGCCAAAATTTTGGGCCGGTTGGATTTGGTCTCTGGTGTCGTCTTCGTAGGCCCCGGTTGACAAAGTTGCGCGGATAGCCATTCGCTCTCAGTGCCCTTCGAAGATATTGCAAAACCGCAAGCCTGTTTTCCGTTTCACTGCAACGCGTCTCAACGCGCCGAAATAGCGTCCTTACGCAACTGCGTTCAAAGAACGTCTCAGTAGCGTCTTCCCGGACGTACAATTTACGATGAAGGAGGAAGAAAATAACCAGCTGGCCTCCCCTGATGTCCTCGTCTGTCACAAAGACTGCGGTGGCCTAAAGATCAAAGTGTTCACGAAAACGACGAACATGACGCAATTACTGAACTTCAACAGCAACCACCCAATCAACCACAAACGCAGTTGCGTAAGAACGCTATATCGGCGTGTTGAGACGCACTGCAGTAAACCGAAAGACAAGGTTGCCGAATCCCAATATCTTCGACGGGTTTTCAGGGAAAATGGCTACCCACGCAACTTCGCCAACCAGCGCATGGGCAAACGAGACAAGCGACGCAGTCGTACTGACCTCAAATTTTAACGAACGACTCCATACGTCAAGAACGGCTCCGAGGCCGTCAGTCGCTTTCTCGCACCATTTGGGGTTGGAGTTGCCCACAAACCGGAGGCGACCATTAGGCGTCGGGTTATGAGACCAAAAGACACACTGCCGGGGCAAGAAACATCTGGAGTTTTTTACCGGATCTGGTGCAGTTGCGACGAAGCAACTACGTTGGAGAAACTGGAAGACTGCTCTGGACGCGAGTCGCCGAACACGCGGCGGCAGTGCGGAGAAGTGACGCCATCTCTCGGGTCGCGGCCCATTCGACGAGACCCGGCCACACATTCAAGCTCGATGAGGTCGAAATTCTCGCGAGAGGGGATAGCCTCATGAGCCGAGAGCTGCTTGAGTCATGGTTCACGGGACCCAAGTCGATCAACAAGTACAATGACGTCCCCACTCCATATTCCGTGCTGAGACATAATCTGGCCAAATTAATTAACCACTTGGGGAGCGCGCAGGCCGGTGTGTCAGATGGCCGACCAATCATCGCGCTAGCATCCAACACATGCGATGAAACTTAAGCAGTTATCAACTTGCATACCGACCATCAAGCAGTTAGCGCGCCAGTGGACATCAATCCTCGATGAACGGGAGAGGGGTTAATTATCACAGGAATGCGATAGCATAACGGCTGCATCCTATAAATATTGCAACTTCCTGTCCACGAAGCACTGTCTCTGATGACGGGTTCAAGTGAGAATCCGAAACGTCGGGTGAATAAAGCTATTGTTCCAGAGCTCTACTCTAGTTCTTATCAACTAGCTCCTGAAACTCGCATCTTCGCTTGTACCAGCAAATACTGCCTTCCTTGTGCCATCACTACCCCTTATTTGCGACTGTCTCTGGTGATGGGTCCAAGTGAGAATCCGAAACGTCAGGCCTATAAGTTTATTGTTCCAGTGATCGCATCTTCGTCCTCTGTGGCGCAAGATTCCTATCGCTATAAACGAATTCACATGCAAGCCACTGTCCCCGCTCTTACCCAGCTGTGGAGCACAAGGTAGAACTCCTCGGTCACGGCGGTCGAAGTGCCTGATCAAATAGTTATGCTGACTCATGATAGATCACAATGCAGTGTCAAACACTTTCAGGCATTTCCTCGAAAGATCTAAGGTCTTCAAGTGAAGCCCAATGAAGACATTTTATCATTTGGTGTGGTTGCTCTGTTTTCTCCAACACTATATGACCTGAAAATTGAGAGCGTAGCTCGACGCCTGCAAGACAACTCATCCACATTTCAATGTACTGCGTTTTTGAGATGCTTGGGTTCTGCCTTAGTAACGGAGACAATGAGTCCATCCTCCTTTCTGTCCTCCTGCGTTATCTAACACGGGTTTTTAGTCGTTTGCCGGTCGCTTCAGTGCAGTTAACTTCCCAGGAGTTGCACAGGGTCCGGTAGGTGACGTCGTTTAACTTCGTAGCAGGGGGATGACGAATAAAGATACCATGAATGAATGTCGGATTGTTAGCTCCGGACGGTGAGCAATGCCGATCCTCAACAGGCCACCTCTGTATGCAAGCAATCGATAACTTTTTTGGGCATTTTGCCACCGGACTTCGGCTTTACCTAGGTTGTCTGTCGGAATTGACGAGGTTGAAAACACTCTACAGAAGGACAGAAACACAATTCGGCGAGCCGGACGACAGAAGGCCAGACCACAGTTACTCAGGGGGTCTCTTAATGGCCAACGGTATCCCTGTGACCTTGTCGAACTCGGAAGACAGCCTAGGTCCATCCGGAGTTCGGTGACAATGGCCAGAAATCTGGCTTATGCTTGTGGACATTGACGGTGTTCCTGAGGCGGTCCCTCGCTGGGGATCGGCATCTCCCATCGTTTGGAGTCAACAGTCCAACATCTGGTCACGAGCCGCGGGCCTCCCTCCCTCTACCACGAGGTGAGGCGACAGTGTAACTTCTGTGAAAATAACTACATTAGAGAGACTGGCAAACGACTATGAACCCGTCTTGGAGAACACATTAGGGCAGTAAGTAGGATGAACCCCTTGTCTCTGGTGGGGGAAAACTGAGCAGACAATGAATACACGTTCGACTTTCAGAATACCGAAGTCCCGGGTGTAGGAAATGACTGCTGACCTGGCGACACAACCAAAGACTGACACACGGGATAACACCATCAACCGTATTATGGCGCTTCCCGCGGTCTGTCAAACCCTTCCGAACGTATTTCAGTGAACAACAGAACAGACGTGAACCCAGGCCAAACATAAATCCAAGAACGGCGAAACCATGGTCGACACGCATGTGGTCACAGCACAACCCGAGCTTGACGAAGGCGCAGCTGTATCATCCACTAATCCAGCGGACGAGAAAATAGACAAAAAAGATTGCCAAATTAGGATGACGACCAAGATCAATGGGGGTGCGGGCGGCGGCTGTTAACGTCTGGACACTGACTTCCGACGAGAGGCATCCACATTAAGGGCATTACATCACCCTACTTTCCCTTCCCCCGTCCAACACCGGCCCCGTGCGGACGATGGCCACCAAAGTCAAAAGACTATGCTCCATCAAGGGACTCCTTCCTCCCTGCAGCTCTGAACCGTTTTAACATGACTGTCACCACCTATAAATACTTCGAGGCGCGGTACCACACTCATCCCCGACCACGGAAACTTGTATGCTTTCGAAACATCCGGATAATATAACTGCTCTTCCACAGATAGTCTTTTCCTCTCATATAGATGTATATATAATGGTAGAGGGGCGCACATCGATCGTTTCTACTGAACTCACTCGCTCGTAGGGCCTGAGGGCTCTCTCTCTCTTGAGCGCAACCAGCAGCCGCACAGCGGCACACGAGATAGGCAGAATGGTATTACCTACAAAGACAAGGGAGAATGGAATGGCCATTTCTGGCTTATTAGTCGTCGTCAGCCAGTCATACCCAACCCCGAAATTTGGAACACCCGAGGCTCGAGCTCGCGACCTGTTGGTTAAAAGTTCAACGCCTCTAACCACTGGGCTACGGGCTCGTTGTCTTGTCGGTTTTTATCGGGAACATACAATGGTAGAGCGGCGCTCACCGATCGATGTATATATGTATGTGTAATATGCGTGAAGATTCGAGGTCCAGATATATTATCGTGTATATCATCCCCCGAGGAAAACGAAGAAGAGAAGGCGATTTCATTGACCAGATTGTATTCAAACTGACGTTTCGGAAACACTCGTTCCCATCACCAAAGTCGGTCGCTGACGTTTCCTGCCGGCCTTGATTTGTTCAGCCTTGCCGCCTGCCTCGTATTACAACCGTGCCCAGCGTACGCACGTTGGTTAGCCTGCTTTCCGTTGGCTGATTGTGGCCTCTCTGGTCCTGGCCATTGGCGGACTGGCGTGCCTTTTGTCTCCCTCACGCCTGACGTGGTTGCCGCCGCCGCCGCCGCGTCGGCGTGCTCGTTGGCCTCCCCCTCGTCAGACGGCGGGCTGATCGATCGTCGCTCCTCAGGCGTGGTCTTTCCGGCCTCGCGAGTACGTCCGTGAGATAGCGTGCCACGCCGGTCACGTGACTTTCGGTCAGCGCCTTCCCTCTCCGCCAGCGTCGGTAGTCGATCCCCTGTGATTCCTTTCATCCGTGCCATTGGCCTTGCCTGGACTGACTCGAGCCTCGCGCGAAGCGCCTGGTAGGCGAGATGTAGGTCTATGGCCCGGTTGAGGGTGTCGGTCGAGGACCCACTTTCCAGCATCAGTCTGGCCACTTTGTCATTGGGTCGAGCGACCACCCGCGTTTTCTCGAAAGCGAAATTGTGTGTGTGGCCATACACCAGCGACAGCTTATCCTTGCGGTTAATCACAAGCTGATGCTCATGCAATCTTGTGCCGAGGCGTTTCCCCGTTTCACCAACATAACTTGCATCACAATCTTGGCATGGTATGCTGTAAACCACCGCTGCTTGTTCCGTCACCGGCAGCGGGTCTTTGAGCCTCATTATCTGCTGTCTGATTGTTGATGCTAGTTTATGGGCCATACAGATTCCAAAAGGTTTCAGAATTCTTGAAGTCGCCTCTGAAACATTCTTCACATAGGGGATCGAGAGCCAGAACTTTGGTTTCTCCTCGTTCGACCGCCCAGAGTGGGACTTCCTGAGACACTTGCGTATGAACGACTTCGGGTAACCGTTGGCTTCAAATAGGGTACGCAAGTACTTCATCTCCTTCTTCCTGTCATCGTCGTCGCTGCAGTGTGTTTGGGCGCGTTGGAAAAGGGTCCTGATACAACTGCGTTTGTGACCGACGGGGTGGTTGCTTCTGAAGTGGAGGATGCGCCTAGTGTTAGTAGCCTTACGGTAGACCGTTGTCTTTATATTCCCGTCTGACAGTTTTGTGACGTGTATGTCTAGGAAGGGTTGAATGTTTTTATCAAGTGGATCAGGTATTATAATTTAGGCAATAAATAAGAAGAGTCCAATAAAACTCTACGATCTCACTATGGGGTTGAAAGCATTATATCGTTAGTATAACATACCTGCTAACCCTCTAACTGGAGTTGTTGAATAAGCGCGTTGGAATAGAAAATGAACACTGATCGACCTGCGTCCTCCAAATCGGCGTAAAAACGTTTATTTGGTCTTTTATCCTCAACGGCTAAGGGGGGGGGGAATTAATAGAGACTGACACTGAAAATACCTCCTTTGTATCAAAGTCGAAGATTTGTATTTAGCTTCAGACTTGGGTGCAAAATAAGTTTATTTTTTCTGACAAATGTTTGTCTTAAGTGCTTTTTTTATAGCCATCCAGTACAACGCCACTTAATGGCCATTGACAAAAAAGTGTTAACAAGGCGGAGCTCAGAATCAGATATCGATGAGCAAGGCATCATTCCCCAGAGTGTTCCACGGCACGCGAAAACTGGTCCACAAATCAGGAGAAAACAATACATAATAATTTTGATGAGAGAAATGATAGCATCTCAGTTACCTGCACAAATTCTTTGAAAGGTTACAGTAATGCAGTTTATTCGCACCTCCATAAAACACACTCGGAGGCTTTCGGATAAAATAAATCGGGAAAGTGAAAAAACATGTAATGATGCACTGAGGAGAACATGGAGACAAAAACCGCGAGACTGAATGGATGGCTGGTACAGTTTTCACTAGAGAAACCTACCATCTTAACATGAAGGCTGGCCTGCTTCACTTGGACGATCTTCCAGCGTCCACAACCTCTCTTGTTAGGAATGGCTTCCATAGACTTGGAGGGAAAGTCCGAAAGAAATACTCTGCCTCAGTGCGAAATCAGATACTGTGAGTGTTCTGTGGACTGCAGAGTAACCTTGAGCTGCAAGCACTATTGCTTACTCACTCGTCTGTTGCTGCTGTAGCATGGATTGCATAAAAATAGCCATGATAAATTATGAAAACTTGAATCAGATATAGGCGGTCGATGGCAGAGTTAAAATGGCAAGTAAAGGAACGACTAGCTTAAGCAAGGTTGATGTCGACCTATTCAAATTAAAAATCCCAGTCCGCAAGAAGTGTGCTATAGCGGTCGAAAAGAGTATGAAGGGGAGGAGAGGAAAGCATGCCGCGAAATTCGAGGAAGTACGAAAACGGTGCCATATTTTTTAATCGACTTCATTTTTCGCCTGTAGTCTGCCCTTCGGGGAGGGAGAGGAGGGATATACGGTCCAAAAGGCTAATTTATACTCAGGCGTGCTCTATTGCCTTAGTAATTGAGGCGCAGACTTTACAAGATACACTGTGTCTTAGTGACAGTGTATAATTTCAGTTCCCGTCAAGCTCAGATGACAGAAGAACTAACGCTGCTTTCAAAAAATTACGTTTCGCTAGTGCTACCAGTGGCCTTTGTCGTGCTTAAATGGAAAAGATTTGAAGCCTATAAGGGTTATATGCAAGAAAACAGTCAAAGGTCGACGTCGAAAGTTAATCCGTGTAATACTTATAATTTCACCTCAACTTCTGGTATAATTTAGCATACGTAAGAATTAAAATACTGAAAATGTGCAGTCAATTCTTATTCCTGCCAATGGCCTGAATCCAAATCCCATCGAAAATCTTTTTGCACTTATCAGAAGACATTGACACGAGGTGAATAAGAAACTTTCAATGCAAGAAAAGCTCTATTTTGTGCTAGATAATCACATTGAACAATCCACTATGGACAACCGGGCTATTTCAATGTGTGAGAGGCCTTCTGCTGTGATAAATGAAAACGGACAATAGACAGGGTATTAATCTTTTGTGCTTGTTATTATTTTTCATTATTTTCCCCACTTCATGCGGTCCCTTTCATTATGCACCCTTACAGTTAACCCTATTGAAGCGATTTGTAACATAGTCATTTTCTGATATTCTTAATTTTAGTGAAAATTAATCATTTCTACGTTAGTAAACACTAATCTACACACCCAACTATGTCCTCTTTTTAAGAATAGTCGTTATTCACTGCTCTAAGATTTTGCGGGACGCATTTTGGGCAGATTTTGCGTTATAGGGGTTTTTGTGAGCTATCCAATGACATATCATGAGTTAGCACACCTACTGTATGTGCACATGGCATGCGTGAAAGTAAGCACCATCAACTGCACTCCGCATACTGGAGTCTAGCGCGTAATATGATTGGAGTAAGAACCTACAAGGACGTTTAAAATAAACATCGAAATACATCAAAAAATCTGAACACTTCTTTTGACTTGATTTGGCCTACCAAGAAATTGGAAGCTTCTCTAGTGAGTATTTATTTTGATTCGGGGAATATTTAAAAATAGATTTGTTAGCTATTCCCTGATTTCAGGTAGTGGAGAGTCCTGGACCCTGATGCACCGTAACATCCGTTCAAGGTTCCCGGTGGACATTTGATTGGCCTGCTCAGAAAAGGCTTAGCACTGATTCATTTTCAACCTCGAGAAGGGGTTAAATATAATTTGGGGGTTTCAAAACAAAGATAAGATAAGTCCCTTATCACCTAAGAGAACACGTCGCCAATTGGGCACATTTGTACACTATGTAGCTCCACGGAGTCTGGGCTGGGAACACTTCTCGATATATGGGCAACAGCCAACAAGCTTGTTTTGCTGAAATATGCATATTTTTCTTGGCCAGCATTAACAATATGTACATATGAAATCCTGGGTGCATGCTAAAAATGCTTTATTTAAACGTTGACGCAACATGATCAATTAAAATTGATTAGAGACTAGAATGATGACCAAATGTTTGGGGTTTTGAGTGTTGGTGTTCATTTCGACTGAATCTAAAATGTACAATGCCGAGTGAGACAGAACTCACATTTTCCGATCTGGCTGAAGAATTGTATGAGAATTGTGTATAAGGGTACGCGATGAAGCCTGGTTCAGTGCGGACTATTGGAGTATGCGGTTGCGGTGGAAGAATACTAAACATAAATTCACAGAGGAATATATGTGGGTAAATAGGAGAAAGCACACAAGGAAACCCGTGACCTATTGATGGGTCAAACTTTTCAACGGCACAAAGCAGACGAAACAGGTGTTTGGGTTTTTAGCTGTTATCCGAACTGTGTATAGGAAAAAAACCAAAATTCTAATAATAAGCGGTTATTACACAGGAACTGATGGAATGCAACTCAAATAAACATACATATTCTGCGGTATTGTTTCGAATCGAGACTCTCCTAAAGGTTTCAGGAATTGTGCTTGAAGTCCATGAAACGGTTATTTCGAGAATAAGCATAACCACAAAAGGTCTTGACAGGAAGGGTGGATATATGGTACTGTTAAGAAGAAGGGACTATTCTGAAGAATCCTTAACCACACATCATCCACACTTGTCCCTCTAAAACAGAGTGGGTTCGACCTCAGATAATATTTGTTTCGGACGAATGGAGACCATACATTGCAACGATCAGTTGAGTTTGGAACATGGTATTGTTAACAACTCAAGTTGTTCTTAACGCCGGCTCCATATGCCCTTTGCTAATTTTTCATTATATTTTTCAACTTCCCTTACATTATTTTTTACTTCCAGCGGCAAGGAATAAATTAAAAAATTTAGTCTTTTTGCCCTGACAAAGAGTGTTCCCTTGCTGCTCTTTCCAATTGCCGTAGTAATATTTCACTTTAAGTATTTTTGGTACTGGGTCCTTTTCCTACTAGCTTTTAGTCTTAGATGAGCGACGATTTTCTTATATATTGCCAAAATTCCTTAAATATTCTCATAATTTACAAATTTGTCTACTCTGGAAGATTTCCTAAGGCAATTGGCCAGCGTAAGCGGTCAATGCCTGGGAGCAGAAAAACATATGGGTGACGGACAACGAAGGAGGAGGGTGGACAGGCTAACAAGACCGATGTGGGCAAGAAAAGATTGGGGTACAAACGGTTTTATGAGACCGCTCAGGCGATTTTCCCAGAAAGGTGATATTTTGTCAAACACTTCATACATCCTATTCCCACAAGCTTGCCCATACCGCTACTGAGCTACGATAAAGGATACCTTATGTCTTGGCAAAAGCGCACCAGACGCCTAGTAGAAGGAGGTGTGCTGACCATGGAACTGCATTAGTTGATTGGTAAATGAGTCGGTGTAGTTTCTGAGAGGGCTTGCTAACAGTGGTTGCGATGAACCGGCATATCATACTTGTGAATGTCTGATCCGCTGATCTCCAAGAAACTGGTCACCGTCCGGGAGCAAATGTTGAAATGTAAGGAAATTCAACGCTTGTTATTACTTAAATGATAAACGCCTAAAGGCATAAGCGGGCACAAAAGATCATTGGTTAGTACAAAGCCAAGCGGCGACACGGTGTATTCGAACAACCGAACGGCGGTAACAGCCTGCCACCGAAAATCTCATCATCCCGTAGACCACCGTAATCACTAATAAGTAGGTGGGCTGTTATTCGCTCCCGATGAAGAGTAACAAGCCGGTCTGAAGCGTTTTAATAACCGGTTCAGCCGTATGCAAGGCACTATAGGCACTATAGGTATTCCAGTCAGCTGAAGATAATCTCTGGAAGTTGCCAACCGAGACGGAAAAGCCTAGTGCCACACCTTAACGAAGAACACTGTCGTTTATGCGACGACTGGAGGGCATGCGGTTTATGGTACAGCCTTGCGATAACAGCTGCGGACATGCATTGTTCGTTCGCTGTTGGGACCGAAATTTATCTAGCGGCAGTCAGGTGTTAATTAGAACAAACGATTAGTTTAAAA